ATTCAACCATTTTTCTTCCCAGATCAGTTAATCGACCTGAACAAAAGAAATGGTTTGGCTAAGATTCTTCAGTAAAAATGCTCAAGATTGAAATTCAGCATTTAAAGCTTTCCAAAGTAGCGCCGTATTTCTCCTCTAAAGAAACTTCGTTGAGAGCTCCCCTTCACACACTTTTTTCGTTTTCTTAAAGTTCAATCTATATCCTTAAAAAAAGAATATTATTAACCTGGGCTTAAGCAAACAGAACACTACTGGCTTACGCTCGCAGAAGCAGAAAACAACAAGGCCACGCTTTCTATGAACCTACTGGCCCAGGTTCATAGAAACGAAATACTATTAATCTAGTTTAGCACCCACTCTGAACACCCATTTTGAGGGTAGCAAATGCCAGCATTACCCATTCGCTGGCGAGGCTGTTGTTGGCTCCCTCTTTTAATAGTTGCTTAGAAGTAAGCTGTGGATGGTTCCTACTCCCTGACATATGCCAGTATTAATTTACTATCGAAACGAATAAACTTTTGATTTCTACCAGCCTGGGTTCACAGAACTGAATACTAAATACGTTAAAATTATCATCCACAGTCGCTAATTCTATTAACAACAACTAGTGATTCGCAGATCACTTCAGACTGAGCAAGATGCGGTTGAAATTTACCTTCCAGTTGAGCAGTTTTTAGAAGAAATCAGGCAGCTTTCCTACATTCATCAGTTTCACATTTTCTGAAATTTTACAAGTTCATATGTTTCGCAAAAAAAAGACTGACCAATATTATCGAGAGCACCCAATGTCCATAACTGATACATGCTGTTAAGCATATTATCCTGGGGCGGCGCATCCATGAAATGAAATTTCAGCAAATCATCCACTCCCAACGATTTTAGCAATAAAATTACATTGGCGAGATTAGTTCGCTGTATTTCTGGCACTGTTGCCACTAACATTTCTTCCTAAAAGTATATTAGGTAATAACAGTGAAGAATTCACAAAAAAAAAAAAAAGAAAATTGCCAAACTTGATTAAATAGGCAATAAATGTAACGAGAATGTCAAGACCATTTACACAATCAAAATGGGTATTTCATACTGGTGATACTGCTGGACGATCTCATGCGCTGGACGCAGTTAAGATACTCCAACACTGAGTTACATGCCTCCAATTAATAACAACAAACTTTTGATGCGTTTTGAGCTGT